TATCCACTTTGCTGCTGTAAGATTGGAATTTACCCATTGTGGGACTATTAAAGGAATATCTTATCTTATCTTATCTTATCTTATGTTCAGGGGGTCAAAATGCCAGTTAATGTTCTGTGGCAACGGCGGCAAGGAAAAACGGTCTTTTAAGAGCCAGAAACCTAGGACAGACCCTTCAGCTCTAGGTGGGTGGTCGTCTGCCTTGCGTCTTAGTCCCTCCTACAAGGGATGCATGGATAGACAGGAACGAGAAGGAACGAGGAAATAAGTTTCTCCCCATTAAAAGAGACGCCGTGCGCATTTACGCACGAGGCACAGCAGCTTTGTTGAACATTGATTTAATGTTAATAAATGTTATTTGTTGTGTTATTTTACATCTCCAGAAGTTCCCACACACAGTCCAGGTTAATGCAGGTAAATTGTTCAGAGTAAAACAGCCCTCCTCCTGATAAATCTTCTATATATACTCTGACAGACTGACTGACAGAATGCGTTTATTTTATTTGTTCATTATGTGCACGTGTATGTATTGATATTGTGATTGTAAACTCATTATTGAATAAGCCGGAATATGATTATGGTGTCTTTTGAACATTGGAAAATATTTATTAGGCTAAATGTTTCAGGGAAAACTGAAATGATGTAACTCGACTCAGCCTCATGTGACTGAATGGAAATGACAACAAATTATGTAAATGTGAAAAGTATTTCTTGCTGACAGACTCTACTCTCTCTGACTGTAATAATATCGTGTTAAACGGCTCAACTGCAGCAACCTATCAATAACTGATGAGGGCGTGTCAGAATTCCATGAAGGCTGCTCCTCGGTGCAGAAATAAGCGCTTTGGGACGGCCTGCAAGATGGCGGACCAGAACTTCCGGTTTAAGCAAGGTTTGAGGATCGAGGAAATGTCAAATAAGAGAAATGGGATCTATCCTATGACTCCTATTTGAGATGGCATGTTGGACTGACAGTGGGCTTTCTGCAACCCCTGTCGCAGAAGAGGTCACAGAGGTCCAGACGATGTCGACTGCCTTTAAGTGTTCGCCATCAAACAGGGCCCTTTGTCTCCCTGCCGTTGTAAGCACAATTCAGAACATGTGGATCCACCTCCAGCCCATATGGGACAAATTGTCCAGAGCACTCCTCTCATTGATGGTTGGTTGTTCAATGAACCTGGATTAACACATGCAGTTCTGTACATTTGTAGCCCTCTAACCTATGGCCCAGCTGGCCCAGTTTCCAATTGCTGAGCTAAATAAATGAGCTAAACAGCAGGTCCATTGGTGCTTTATAGTGCATGGTTGCTACCAGAGGTGGTCCAAAGGTCTATCTATCTCAGGGTGCTAGGGCAGAGCCTCGATAGGGTACACCAATAGCGAAGCCTGTTAAAGCAACATGCACATACTCACAGAACTGGAGTTCCCAGATAACTACTATTTTTACATTCTGTGTGAAGCCATGCTTCCCTTGTGCATACTGGGCGTTTCTTTTCTTCCAGAAATGTAAAGAAAGACAAACATTGAAATGCAGTTAAGGCACTTTAATATCAGAAATAATCACTTCGGATCAAATATTATCTCCTGGTACAACCTGATAAGGCAACCACAAACATTTAAAGCACTTATTTTAAACAACATAAAGAAAATTATACTTTTGATGAAGTATTCTGATGAATGAGCTTGTATACTTCGCATGATATAAAAACTACAAAACTGCATATAGCTGTGGAGTTAAGGCCATTTTACTTATTGATAAAGGGACACATCATTTTTTAACAAAAGAAAGTGAGATTATTCAATTTAAACACAACACCAGCTCACTGCAGAGCTATTGCAAGTGGAAAGAACAAAGGTACATTACACAAAACCCAAGTAAAAAATTATTTAATAATTCATTCATTCATTCATTCACTAATCATAGTGAAAAAAAAAATAACCCCAACTTTTTTACTACAAACTGTGTATTCTCATTTGGCAATATGAAGATGAATGGGGTAGCGAGGTACGATCATTCTGTCCCCACTAATGAATAAAATAGATTCCGAAACTTCCATCCCTCAATCTACTAGTACTTTAACTTCCAGATAGGTATGTGGAAAACCCTGAGTGTGAGGAATTCTCATTTGATGTTAAAAGTAAATCCAAGTAATTTCATTACTCGTGCATCCACCAAGTCATTTGAATGCTGAGATGTGTTACTCTGTTAACCCCAAACTGAGCTCACTGACTGGGAGTAGTGATGAGTAATTAAACTGGCTCTAGCTCCAACTGCCTTCAGATTTATTAAAATCACATGACATTTTATTATAAGCATACATGTGATCAGACACCCCAGTGGCTTAGCAGTGTAAGGCACATAGCTTATAGAGTAGCATTGTGGTGAAGGTCCTGCAAGGATTTAAAACAGTAAAATTGTTCAACAACACAGAAACGAAGGACTACTTGATAATATTACAGTATATAATGCTATGTTATGACCAGTGGTTCCAAGTATTGTTGTTTGTTTCTACGAAATCTTGTTTTTTACATAGCTTTGGTAAATGGGTGGAAATACTACAATTCCCATCCGTATTAGTGGGCAACCAACTAGGCAAACCTATTTAATTTCTTTGCTCTTTCTTAAAAAGTTGAATAAATGAATGGTTATTCAATGGTAATAATAATAATAATAATATGCTGGTTCAAGTTCAGCCACACACAAACAACTTAACAGACAAAACCGTCTATGACCTGTTTATGGTCCCAACAGTTTAAAAAAAATAAAGATACAGATGGAGATTTGTGACTTGGACTAACTATTACTAAATCAATTTAAGAAATGATAGTTTACTTTTCAAAATGCTAATCTAGAAAACACATTTTGGCACAAGAAAGTTTAGACTGCAAACTGATGATGAATGAATTGCTTGCTGAGTCTTTGTAAAGGCACAGCGTGACACACAGACTTTTGGCTCAAGAGATCAAAAGACAAACCATGGCAAGTAAACATAAATAAGGCATCATTGCCATGGACAGCACCACGCAGGGTGATGGCACTTTGGTGAACTTCCTGTCCTGAAGTTCATCCTTACTGTGAAGCTGGAGGATCCTCGTCGCCTAACTCATCAGGAAGCTGCAACAGAGACAAATAGGAAATAAGGTAGCCAATCACAG